ACTTTCAATGGTTTTTTAATGATGATATCTTGTATATACTTTTTGTACAGGTGTAGGAAATAAACTATATGGGATGGAATGCGCACCAGACGGTTATATCAGCACTGCATCAGATAAAGGCCCGGCCTATGTACCATGGTGCCTTTTCTTTCATAATAGATTTGATAGAAATTGCAATTCAAGTTCATGCCTAGATTATGAGCTCTCCTTAAGTCTGTATGTGAACTCTCATCAAGACTCTGTATTTGTTATTCCCTAAACCTGACCATGAATAGTTTTGAAGAATACAAGTTGAAATAAAGTATCAAAAAGGTTAAGAATTTGTGTAAGATTCAATCGAGCTGAATCGAAAATTCGACCTAAAAAAAAAAAAAAATGCTCTATTTTGCTTATGATAGAAAATCGCAGAAGAAAGACCATGCAACGTTAATTGAATCTCCCCTAAAGGGGCTTTTCAGCCTCAATGTAGTAAGGTTGATAACGGACGTCGGCACTTTATCAGGCGCCTTCGGCAGCCGCTTCGGTCCATGTAGCGATCTCACCTTCCCACCCATCCTACCCAGGGGAGGACATCCACCACACAGTAATCCCGTGCGTGGGAAATCAACGTCTCCTGCCCCAAACCCTGCAGGAGACGGGACCTACGGCTTTACGTCTTATCCGAGAAGACGTAGCAATGTGAGTGAAGCGACTTGCTTAAGGCCACAACGTAGTGCCCCTGCAAGGACTTGAACCCGGGCCGTCCGACCATTGCTAAGAAAAACATCTATTATGATTAAGGCCAAGGAAACATTGAGAGTCAAATGGTAATCACACCCATAAGTGACTTTTTGCACTCTTGCATTAACCCAAGCTGGCAATACACCTTGGCAAACACAATGGCTGGTTATATACTAGCATATAATAATGTTGAATATAATTTGTACAATAGCTGTAGGATGCCAGAAGATTTCTCAACTTAGTCGTTCTGTGCATAGTTAATCGAGGGGACGGTATCTTGACGGGTCCTCCTCTCAAAATAGCCGGAACATTGATGACAATAATACACGTTACTTTAAACTCCTCTTTGTCGGCTATTATTCTAAAATAGCGTACCTTAAACTCCGACAACTCACTAAGCGCTTTTGCAAATCGGACCTTAATATCAAACTAGTTTTCACTTCTTTTAAAATTGAAAACATGTTCAGTGTTAAAGATCGTACTCCTGATGCTCGAAAATCCATGGTAGTTTACCAATTTTCTTGTGCGGGTTGTAATTCCCGTTATATTGGCGAAAATAGTCGCCACTTCTCTACTAGGATAAAGGAGCACACGGAAAGCGACAAAAACTCGCATATTTTTAAGCATTTCAACACATCTCCTTCTTGTAAGAACAAATACTCCCTTTCTTGCTTTAGCATGCTGGATTCTGCTAACAACTCAATTGATTTAAAACTCAAAGATGCTTTTATATAAATAAGACCAAACGTGAACTTAACAAACAATTATAGCATTATAACACTTTTCTAGCGTTTTAGTTCGCACCTTTGAGGTTTGTTGTCACGTTGTAACTAGTGCCCGCTTTTATATTACATCATACTGTAAATATTTCATTCATCTACTTGTATGGTTTATAATTACTCACGTTCAGTTACTCATTGATTGAAGATGGCATAAGCATGCCGAAACATGTCTCTCAAAAAAGTTGTCTATTTATTACAATATATATTTTGATTTGTTTCTCCTGATTTTTTCTATCGAATTATGGTAATTTTTGTAGAACGCTAAATCAGAATTTAAACAATAAATAGACGAACAAACGAAGAAAACTGTTAGTGCTGAATTGGAAAATAAAACTGCTTTAAATAGCTGACAAAATACAGGTAAGAATTGCTGTGTTCATCCGAGTAAGTAAGTGATAAAATGTTTCGTGCTAAAAAAGTCTTCTCGTCGTTCGAACACTTTACTTTGATGCTATTTCTGTCCTCGATGCGCATTGGTCAGTTTTAACTCCGATCCCAGACCATCCCACTATAAACAAAGGCGCGGCGACATAGCTAGTCTAAGAACATGTGCAAACTGACAAGAACTGCGATTCATGGAGAAAATATTAGCCCTCATAGCTGTATCTTTAGGCAAAAAAGTTACGGTATATGCTGTGGGAAGGGTGAGTATGCGCAGCCTATTTTATGTGATTGATCTTGATGCTGTTGGGGATATTCTGTGTAAGATATATCCAGTGGCAAGAAGTACCTCTCTGATCGTGGCAGAGGTTAATCCGGTGACTCGTGATGTTTCGTGAAGTTTCGTGAACTCTGATCATAACTGGCATTTTGAGTTTCTTCCTCCTTCGATGTATAATTTTTGCTATTGCTGACTTTAAATTTGAACATGGTTAGATTGAATACGTATCCGATCGATGATTCGAAGGAACTTCATGTAGCTGATCGATGAGGGTGACGTAACATTCAATTTGGTTACAAAATACCACAATTGATAATGCTTGGAGAAATATAACATCGTTAGATTTCATCAGGCTACTATTCTGCCGTTATTCTGCTGTTATACCTAACACGATACTGGTGGATGTCAATAAGCTCAAGAGTTTTAAGAATTTGGTGCTTTCCATACAAGCCTGGCAGCAAAGCTGGTCCGATTTTAGGAGCGAATAATTGTTATTTCTTCTTGTGAGAAATTTCATCCTGTTCACTACGCTACTATGTTTTAGCTCAGTTACATTATTTCTTTGGAATAAGAAATTTGAGTCTGGTTACTGGGATCAACACCAGAGTTCTTTCAACTTTGATCTCAGCAAGAGAGATCATTTGTTCATACAGTGTATTTGGTAATTTCTTGTCTCTTGACAAGAGAAAAAAAAATGTCTTACCTTATTTCCTTACTGAGTGTAAAATCTATTATCTTCTAATTCTGTTTACACACATGATACCTTTGCCATTGCTCAGTCTAGCAATATACAGGATGTGTGTCACTAATAGGGACCTTAAGCAGTCAGGATGGCAACGCCAAGGAAGACTTCAATTAAAAAATGAATTTCTACTCTTAGTCAGAATTTCAAAAATGGCTGCATGAGCTTACTGTCTCATACAGCGCCACAGCTCAACTTCAGCATGACGTATAAAAGTAGTGTTGAGTTACAAATGGAAATTAAAATAATTTGCCGTTGTGGTTTCAGTTTGCAGATGACGCAAATTTTGGCGATTTCACGTTGTTGTTTTGCATAGGACGGCTAAGAAATGTTCAAAGTTTCAAAATGCACGTGCTGAGCTATTGTTCTGCCAATTAGATCTCTTGTTTTTCCACGTCCTCGTTGCCGTCGCCTTCGTGGCTGCTTAAGGCCCCTATTAATAGCCATATGGTCCAGCTTACCATAGAGTCTTTGTGACTCAGAATACCAGAGTGCAGAATCTTAAATTCTGAGGTCGGATTCCTTAAGCTGACAAGATATTGAGGTTACATAAAAAAACCAGGCTTATGTGTCTCCAATTATTTTGGGCAGAGACCATTATTTTAGAAAGGGGACTCCACTTGGACTTCCTGTAAGCATAGACCCCACCCCCCCTGGCTTAAAAATTATGCAAATCTGAGTGGGTTCATTCCATGTTCCCTCGTCACAGAGTTAGCAATGCAAAAAAATCTATTTCTTTTTTTTTTTTTTAATATTTCCATAGTACTATGGATTCCCAAGACTTTATAGACGATTTGCAGAGTTCAACAGAAGAGTAACATCTAACAGACAGACCCTTAGGAGAAGACAAGAAGTAATGAAGTTTGTGTTCAGAGTTCCAAACAGAATTTTAGAATTTTTCAGGTGAGAAAGTGTTTTAATTGCTTACACTCACACACGCCAAATGACACAAATTGTCACAATAATCATGGGAGACGGGACAGCTTTGTTGGTAGGCAGATGTGTTGATCACAATCAGGGCTCGGCACTTGGTGAATGATGGAAGCTATACATGCTGTTCTAAAGAAAATAATCTTCTTGAAGAAAAATCTACCATGAACAATGAAATAAGTAAATCACATTTCATTTCAATGCCTTTTTAAACTAGTCTGTTTACCGATGCACACACGTCAGATGAGTGTATAAGACTAGTCTGCAATCAGGGCTAAATTGCATAGTTTACATTTTTTATTGCACCCTATCAGAAGGCCAACCTTATCTTTGAGCTGCACTGTATACAAATATACCACTCTACCTCTAGAGCCACTGTATCACTTCATTCATGTGGCATGTATTCAAGGTGTTGGCATGAGTTTGAGTATGTTTCGAGTATGTCTTCCTGGGGAACTCTTGAGCATTTGAACTTTTGATGTTTGGGTTATTCAAATTCCTCCCCCCTTGGGGCGAAAATGGTGTCAATTACCCCACCCATGTGCCTGATTTGATCATCGATTTTTTATTGTAAAAGGCACAATTAGTGAGGGTGACTTATTTGTAGGCCTTTTCTAATGAGCCATCTGCTTGTAGAAGTGAACTTTTTACCCTTAAATGTCTCCATTTTAAGAGATAAGACATGTTTGTTTAGTTGGAATGACTTTACAGATGGCGTTCAAATTCCCCACCCCACCCATATAAGGTTAAAAAAAAACCACCTTTGGGCAAGGAGGACAGTCAAATGCCTCTGTGTGGTCATGGGGGAATGTTTAAGCTTTGATTAACCTTGATAAATAACCTTAATCAAATTCAAACATGGACAGGCCAAAGGGTGAATGAATGAAACAAAATCAGAGAATAGATTGAAGTTTCTTGCTTTTTTGTAATATTGAA